AAAAGAAATTAGAAGAATGATTTGAAAATAATTTAGATAAAGGTACTGATTTAAGAATGGTTTGGGATGCAAGTAAAGCTTTTAGCTAGAGCGGGGATGCTGCAGGTTCTATTAATTAAGCAATGTCATCTGACAGGATTCAGTAAGTGTGCCTTCTCAGTGATGCTTCCTGGAATGATATCCCCTTGGAGATCCATATTGATGCCACCCTATTATCTTTCAGAAATTGCTTGAAAACCTTGTTCTCCCAGGCCTGGGGGTAGGATGGCTGTTTGAGGTTTGGTTTAGGTAATTTTTTGTTTTTCATGTTATGGGTTGGTTTTCCAGTCAGCCGCTTTTTTTCTTTGATGTAGGTTGTTTTCTAATTTTACTTCATTGTAAGCCCCCCCCCCACCCCTAGGATATTCATGGAATTGGAAATTCTCATAATGGGATCTTAAATTAACTATTAAATTAACAATCATTAACAAAAAAGTTGTATTACACTATTTGCAAAATTATTAATGCTGAAAATTATAGCAATGTTTCTTGTTTGGCATTTTCTGTCCTCATAGAAATAATCCTTTAATAATGTATTGTAACAAGAATTTTTTTTAAAATTCTTTAAAAAAATGCATGGAGATTCCTGAGTACCATTAAAGCCATAATTTTGTCAATGGTAGAGGAAAAGGAAAAGGAAAAGGAAAAGGAAAAGGAAAAGGATGTAACTGAAGCTGTGAAATGTCAGGACAAAAATATTTTAAAGGGAGAAAGAAAATAGTAACACCTCCTGAACATTCTACCACAAAGAGATTGGATTCCTTTTTCATCAACACACTAGTCTACTAGGTATCCATTTCTCCTGCACTGAAAATTAAACAATAATCACCATAATGATATTTATGTGACTTTGTATAGATCACCTATTATCACACCGCAGATGAAGATGGCAAGTCAACAAATCAGCCACATTAGTCAGAAGCTACATATTACACCCCATTTTACCTTTGCAAGCCGTGACCTCTTGATTAGGTCATTCAGTTTTCTCACTGTTGCCTTTTGTGGAAGATTCTGAATGTCTTGGAACAGATCTTGTGCCTCTGCCTCAAACAATTTTCGGTTCTCTGTGTTTTGCAGGGGCTGGGCCCAAAAAGAACCAATATAAACTCGCAATACCTCTGGGGTATTAATAACTTTGCCCAAGGACCACATGAGTGCACCATATACTCTCATTAACTGCTGGGTGTCCACTTGGTCAGCCTTATTCAACACCACCCGTATCTTGTCATCCTGACCCCGAAATGCCTTGATTGCTTCTGAGAATTCATCAGAAATATCAAGTTTATGTGCATCAAATAAAAGGATGATACGATCAACCCTCTCAGCAAACCACTGCAGGACATGACAGAAGTCGTAACCTGAAAAAAGACAATAAATAGGAAAAGGTGATGTAATATGATTTTGCTCACAATTCTTCAACACAAGATTTGTGGGATGAAGCAGGACAGAATTTTACAGTGCTTGAATGAGTAGCAGGTTTCAGGTACTGCAAAGGCGGGAAGTTCAGCCTTACTCTGTGCTGCAAATAACTTTCATGAAGAGCTACTCAGAAAGACTGTTCATAGCTTTATGTTGCTGAACATGAATCTAAAACGAATGTTAGTAATGATAAAAGAAAAAAAGAATTACCCAGATTGTCAAGAATGCAGAGAATACTCTGCACATACACTGGGTGCCACAAGCATGTATCTTATACCAAACAATGAACTCCATAGTTACAGACAGGATTTTCCTAGCTATGTTAAATGCTTTTTCTTCTATAAATGACAGGAATCAGAGCTGGCTCCAAACTTTATTAAACTTGGTAACACATCACAGCCCAGCATGGCAGCAATCTATTGCAACTGGGGGTTCCTGTTATTTATACACTCCCCCATGATTCAGCCAGTACTTTTGGGGTTAAGCATTACTAAATTTGCTGAAGTTGGTGCTGCCCTTGCAAGGGGAAAAAGAAAACGAAAAAGGAGCAGACTATAAAACTGAAGGAGGGAAGAGAAAGAGATAGACTCAGGGAGATAATGAACTAAAATGCCTTGGATGAGGAAAATAATGGACTCATTTGAGGCATGGTATTTTTGGCAGATACCCAATTATGCTAATTTCTGAAGTTCTCAGGTATTGAACTTAGACCTTCAGCGCACAAAGCATGTGATTTATCTTTATGTTATTTTCAACTTGCAGCATTATAAAAAAGAAAATGAAACTCCCAAAAGCAGCATATGATAGAACCATGAGTTCACAGAGATGTCAGTTAACTATTAATTAACTATGAATTTTACAGGATACACTTCAGAACGAAACATACAAAAGCCTTTCAAAAATCTGAAATCACTGTAGAAAAGTACAGAAATCAGTTATACCCTTAATAAAATCAATCTAATAATGCAAAATATCTTAACACCTATTGCCACAGATGCTTAAGTTCTTAGCGTCAACTTGTACTTGTCTACTATTAAAAGAAAATTCTTCTGAATCAATTGGCCTCTTGTTGTACTGTTGTCTGATAACACAGTCTTATCATTAACCCACACATGAACAGCTGGTATCATTATGCTTCTAGTGCACAACTGCAGCCATCATGCAAAAATGTGAACATGTAAAATTGTTATCAGTTATCACAACTACAATAAAAAATGTAATCATATGAATACTTCTATTATTGAAATCAAAATACATGCATAATTTTGGCTGAACAGCTTCCATTTTTGCACTGTTCTGAAGCGCTTTAAATTAATTAATTAATTATTATAGTAACAATAAAAGACCAAAGAGAGCAGACAGTATTTTGGGTTGGGAGATTTTCTGACAGATGGAAAGGTTATATTACAATATCAGCAAATTAGTTAAGAGAGTTGAAGCAGAAGAAAATAGCAACCAAAGATATACACTGGGTGATTTTTAAAGAGAGATACTGTTTTCTTCCTCTTGTTTTGTTGTTGTTGCCGTTATTAAGGCTGTTCCTTCCTTCCCTAGTTCAATGGCTGGTCATTGTTATAAATTTGGTTTAATATTTCAAATATAATTGTGTACTTTATTATTATTAGGCACTTTGAACACTATTTTATTAGAAATGCAGGAATATTAATTTCATAAATAAAAAAATAATCAAATGATGGAGTTAACCAAATTTGATTAGGTATTGGTGTCACTTCAGAATCAGTGCAATGTTTTCTAAGTAGGTTAATATTATAAAGCCCTATCAAAACTAAAGTACAAAACCTACATGCTGTTATTGGTATGCCTTTTGATATTGTCGAAGTTGTGCACATGTTCTTTCAGTTCTGCCCTATTTATACTCTTATTAATAAACAATTTCATCAATAGTCGTCTTCTCTAATTTGTGCTTTTCATGTATTGGCACTATAACTTCCTATATCTTTGTCAACGTGCTGGGAATTCTAGCCCCAACATACGTGGAAGGCTCCTATTTGGAGTTAGATATGATAGCAGTTTAATGCATCTACCTGTATATACTACTAAAACTCTCATTGTGTTTATCTGATTGTCCCCTCAAACAGTGCATTGTACCACAACAATTTTTAAATCAAGGTATCTAAATCCGCTAACTTGAAAAATGCGTAAAAAATCCGGGACCCATTACTCCTGTGGAGTTGAAATTTCCACGATGTTCAGACCAGTTTTATTTGCAAAGCTGTGGCCACTGCAAGCATCCCCGTGGTCATGTGACTGTAATTTCTGACATCAGCAAAGTCAATGGGGAAGCCTGCAGGAAGTCAGAAGTCACTCCCACTCCCACTGCTTTTTTGCCTGCCCATGGCCATTCTGTTTATCTGTTTAGGTAACACTGACTTATTATTGAAATTTGTTTGCCACTACAATTATTTTTCTATTCATGTTATATACTCTTCTTAGATGATCACGGGACTGTCCAGCATTGGGGT